AGAGAGAGAGAGAGGGAGGGAGAAAGAGAGAGAGAGAGAGAGGGAGAAAGAGAGAGAGAGAGAGAGAGAGAGAGAGAGAGAGGGAGAGTGAGAGGGGGCAGGGAAAATCGCGTTAGAACTTCCGAGGATCGTTATCATCCACGGGGACAGCGGAACGAAGTTCGACTCCGGGCAAGTTTCGTAGAAGGTGTCTTCCACGAAACGAGGATCTCGGATGCCGGGCTACTTAGGGGGGTCATGCCTAGTTAATTATCCTCGGCAACCATCGAGGCCAGCTATTTTATTTGAAACAAATGACCTCCTCGGACGTCTACCGCGAACTTGACTGAATACCTTTCTCGATAACAATGAAGAAACTCTTGACTTCAGTTTCACCATCGACGAAACCACGATGCGTTCCACGTAATTCTGCGAACAAGATTCTGGAAGCATCGACTTCGATCCTCGCCGTACCCCATGTCCGGGTCCTTTCGGACCCAGAGCTCGGGGCCTGCCGCGATCGGTTCGACGCTCGATGCCGTCCGCCGTTCGTTTGCACCAGGAGCAACGATCAACAAATACAGAAACGAGTCGCTACGCTTTTTTATTGTTTACATAACCGCGTTTAAATTTTTCTGCGGTCGTTACCGCGCATTCCTCTGTGATCCGTTCTCTCGGAACCCTCCGCTGAATTTACAGGATACGAATAAATACCGGAGAGAGAGCGCGGCGATAACTACGGAAAAATGAAACGCGCGGTTATGAAAAACAGTAAAAACCGTCATATCAGTTTACAATGTAACGGAGATGCGTACGCGCGTCTTCTTTTTTTCGAGAATATCTCGAGTATTAACGATCTTTCTGCCACGATGCCCGAATTATTTTGTACGCGGAACGAACGGAGGAGTGCAACGATCTGTGTAATAAAAAAATACGCACTTCCCTGTTTAAAGAAACGATGCAGCGTTAATAATTGCACGCGCGCCGATGCGCTTGAACAAAATCCAAAGACGCGAATCTACGAACGCGGTGCTCTTCGACCCATTTATCTATCCCCTTTGACATATTTTTGTCTCTGCATCGTTTCTTTAAACGGGGGAATGCGTACTTTATTGTCGCACAGATCGATTCCTCCGTTCGCTCCGCGTACAAAATTATTCGGGCATCGTGGCAGGAAGATTGTTAATAATCGCACGCGCGCCGATGCGCCTAAACGAAATCCAAAGTCACGAATCTACGAACGCGGTGCTCTTCGACCCATATTTATCATCTTCGACCGATTTATCTCCCCCCTTCGACATTATTTTCTTGTCTCATAAACACACGAATAACCGAGTTACGACGATTCTCCGTGCCAGCCTGCGCGAAATAATGAAAACACGGTGGCCGCGGTTAAGGGTTTAAAAATCGCGCCCCGCGAGTGGAATGCTCCCGATCGAGCAACGCCGCTAAAGCCATTGTTAACGAAACAAGCGGCCGGCGAAAAAGCGAGCCGAACAAAGAAGATCGAATCGGAACAATGACAATCAATTTGGGAAAATGCCGGTATCGGCAAACTTCGCCCGGCGAACGCGCGGCGTCGGTTGTACGGGGCCGGAGAAATTTAGGAAAAAAAAGAAAAAAAAACCAAAATGCTGCGAAATATCGGGGCACCCCAAATGGGGGATGGCGATAACGCGACGCGGACCGCGAACGCGTGGAAATAATCTGGATCCTTTCGGCGGGGATCCGGTTCGAAAGCGGAAACGGGTTCGGTATGGGGATCGGTATGGGGATCGGTTGTAGGGCGAGAGCGGCAGGTATATCAGCGGGGGCTAAGAGGGCGGGAAAAGGAAAGGGAACGCGAACGTGGGAATGGGAAAGGGAATGGAAACGGGAATGGGAACGGGAACGGGAACAGGGATGGGGATGCGCATGTACGCGACAGGGGAGCGGAATAAACTCCGTGCGGACGCGCTCACATCGCGGCGCACTGTCCTCCCGACAGCACGTTTCCACGCAGCTCTCTCACCCTCTCTCTGTCTCTCTCTGTTCTCTCTCGCTCTGCCTGTCTCTCTCGCTCCGTCTGTCGCTTGGTTCAACCCCCAGGATCTTCCAGTGATCCCCTGGCTCCTCGTTTTTCGTCGACGGATTACGAGATATATCCCCCTGTCCGCTCCGAAATGAAAATTTACCGGGCCGTCGGCCGCGGTCGTGGCGTCGCCGTGACGCGTCGCGTGTAACGGCGCCCCGTGGCCGTGATTATCGCTCGCCCGACACGTCACATGTGATTGGGGCGACCGGAGGATCGTGCCGCGTCTCGCGAGTGACCTCAGCCGACCCGCCGACCGACGATCATCACCGATCGACGATCGTCGAGCTCTGGATCTGTGGAGCTTCGTGCTGCGCTGGGCAGCCAGGATGTCGTTCTTCAAAGGCCTGTGGAAGAGCAGCTCCAAGCACAAAAGTGAGTTGCCGCTGACGATTCGGACGACTTTCGGTGGCTTCGCGGCCAACCATAAATTCGGTCGCGAACAAGTTCCTTCGTTCTTCGGACGGAGCCCGGACGCGCCGATAAGACGTATCGCTTCGCGGCGATCGCCGATTCTCGCCGATTTCGCGCGTTTCTTTCTTCGATCGTCGATTCCGCCAGCTTCCGGGACGACGAGCTTGCCAAACGTTCCGTCTAATTCGAATTTTCCGCCGGCTAGACATCGGCGTTCCGCTCGGTTCTACGCTTTTCGGCTTCGTCGGGATGCCGTAGACGCGCGTAATGAAACAACGAGCACGACTTCGGAGACGTTGCCGAAGAAGTTTGTCTTTGTCTTCGGGTGACTATAGCCTTGCACATCACGGAGGAACGGGTACAGTTGGTTGAGCCGAAAATTCGTCTCGTTTAACGCGTCGAGGAAAGCGTCGTGGCGGTCACATATGGGTGCATCGGTGGGTGTACCGATTTTTAACACGGTTTTGAGATTCGAAGACGTTGCCGAAGAAATTTGTCGATGTCTTCGGATGGCTATGGCCTTGCACATCACGGAAGAACGGGTACAGTTGGTCGAGCCGAAAATTCGTCTCGTTTAACGCGGCGAGGAAAGCGTCGCGGCGGTCGCGTATGGGTGCACCAGTGGGTGTACCGATTTTTAACGCGGTTTTGAGATTCGTTTTTAATGCGATGTATATTGAACGAAGCAAATGTTGGCGGGAATGTCGGGATACGAAGCAGTCGAATTTCCTGCGGTACATTATAATTCCATAGTTTCGGTTTCATCGACTAAATGACCGCGATATTGCGCGAATTTTTTCGGGTTCGGATTCGACGCTTGACAAGCGAACGAACGGCGCGGTTCTGAGCGGAAGTTTAGGAATTGACCCTGGAACTACCAAAGCAATCGAAACGACTGGTTTCTGAATCTCTCTTTTACAGTTCCTGATGCTGTAAAAATGTGTTTGTTAGACATTTATCTATGAACTTCTTCGACGAAGCATAAAATTGTATTAAACAGTATACGTTAGTCGTGTTTTGGGCTCGATAGTTCTACTGTTACTAAACCGTTAACAAGAAAATAATTGCATTGTTCCTGCATATTGTGTAACAACATAGAAACAGCGCATATTGCGAGCGGAACATCCGGGACAGCCTGATCTTTTCCTTGGCGAATTTGATAATCGCATTTATCATCGTACCGTGAAATTCGAAGCGAAGCAAAACTTTGATCTGGCCGACGATTCGATGGACCGACGTCGCAGAATTCTTCGTGCTTTCGACGACGGGGTTAACGAAGTTGGCCGGGGTGAGGAGGGAGGGATGAAAGGTATCAATAAATCGTAAATACGTTTCTGAATCGGTGAGTTGATGGAGCCTCGCCTCGAGACCTCGAGGCCGCGGCCCGCAAGGTAGGAATGGCCCAGCGGCTGCTGTTTCTCGCGAATTTACGTCCGAGCGGTTATCGTTGGCTGCGGAACGATGGAAATTTATCGGCAGGGCTCCGTTTCAAGGGCCACCGCAGTAATTCCGGGCCGGCAACTCGATAGAGATACCGTTTCAAAGAGCGAAGTCGTGTGCGCCCGGGGATCTAATCGAAATTCTAGTCGGCTGCGATAATTGACGAAATTGCATTTTCTCGGCTGGCTGATCGAGAAAGCTTATTTACTACGCGCTGGTACGCAGCCGGATGATTAACGATAAAGTCGTGTCGGCTGCGAAATGCCGGGAAACGTTAACGGAGACGAGCAGAAGCGGCGCTCGCAGCAGCAGCAGCAGCAACATCAGCGCCGGCAGTTAACGCGATTATTCGCAATAAGCGTCGTAATAGAGAGCCGCGTTTAAGATTATGGTAATGCATGCCGGGTCACGTTATAGGCGCAATGTGACCTCCTTCGGGGCACTGATTATTGATCATAAAATTTGCATAATCGCGGAGGCCGCGTCTCGGAGCCGCGCGATCAAAGAACAAGAGTTCCCGGATCTATCGAGCGCGTTATCTCGCGAACTAACGCGAAACTGGTCGACGCACACGCTCCCAATTCAGCTATACGCTATCTTCCAGCGAGCCGTTCGTTTCTAAACGTGCTTCGATTTCACGGTGAATCGCCCGCGCGCGCGCGCGCGCCGATCGAGCAACTTCTTATCACCGGGCGAACTCCGACCAGCGAAATTAACGGAAGCTCCGTCGCCGAGTTGCGCGACGAGTCGCCTCCGTGCAGCGAACAGATTTTTTAGCGACACCTCCGGGAGCCGTCGACGAAATTTCCAGCACCGCGCGGAAGCACCGCCGGGGCGTCCCGGGGAGACGATAACATTAATTATGCTTGCCGCGAGTTGGTACGTTACCAGAAATTGCGCGCCGCGTTCATTTATGCAGGGAATCTCGTGCATCGGCATCCGTCTTCGTTAAGGTTTCTCGAGTCCGCTGGATCGCATTCTTCGGATCCGTTTCACGGTCGACTCGCGAGACTCGGCGTACGACGTTCTAGCAAATTTTCAGATTTCGTTGTAAGATACCGAGGATCAAGAAATTCGAGGCGACAGTTCGAGACGAAACGCGCGTCGATTATGCGACGGTTCGCCGCGCCGACGGAAAGAAAGGCGTGTCTCGTTTTGTGGCCGGAATTTCAGCCAACGAACATGCGTATTCCTTGGAATGCAAGACTATCGATGCTCAAGAAAAAATTGCGATGGAAGTGTCGCAGTTACTTTAACGAGCGCTATACCGGAGCTTGCGAAAATCGTACGGAATCCGAATTATTTCGTGAGGCAATAAGGATCGACAAGATACGGTAGATTGTTCCGAATTTTCCTTCGGCTTGCAAACAAAATACGGACAGTTTGGGGAGAGGAATTTATTCGTGCTTCGCGGCTCGTTTTTATAGCTGTCGATTGTCAACAATTATAAAGTACGAGGCTCGAATAATCGCGTTTTCTCTCTCCAAATTGTCCATTTCTGTTTGCAAGCCGAAGGAGCAAATTTAGGAGAATTTACCGTAACTTGCACATTACTATCGCCGTAACTATTGCACGTTGTACATTCGAATAAACATCAATTTACCCGAAAGACAGCGATTAATATCGAGCGTCGATTATAATGAAATTTTATCGGTCCGACCAACGAGAGGCGGTCGAGAAATAAATAAACCTTCCGGGCGACACTTTGTTTAAAACATATGATAGGTCGCTTTCTTTCGCAAATTGGGTATATTCGTTTCGGTTAGGATCCTTCTCGACGCGACGCCGTGATTCCGACGGCGTCTCGACGCCACCAGAAGAAACGAGCCGGCCTTTGTCATTGAGATTCGCCAAGGGATTTAAAGGAAACCGCCGCTAAGATTGCGGCAGCTGGTGCTGCACCGTGTCCCGGTAATTTCGGCGAAGACCTCCGGCCATCGTTTGCATTGTACCAACAAGTTTAACCCGTCGACGCGAGCCAATCCGCTCCAATCATCGCGCGCGCGACGCTCCGTCTTTCCATTAAAGCCACGCCTGGCATTAAACGCGCGCGGACGCGTCCGAAACCGGCGCGGCGCATCAAAATTTGAATATCGACGAAAATCGGACACCGAAGAGAGAGAGAGAGAGAGAGCCGCCGGAATATCTTCGTGGCTGGTTCCTGTCGGCGCGCGGACGTTTCGAAATCTCGGCTGTATCAAGCGTCGAACGAAACCGTGACAAGCGCATTGTGCGCGGAATGTTAATGCGCGCACGACTCGCTCGGATTATTCGCGCGCGTTCACCGTTCGTCGTCCTTTTGTTCGCGTTCGAACCGCGCTTTAATCGATCACGCTAATCAACCCCTTTCCTTGTTGCTGCTGCACGCTCTCTAAAGAATGCAACGGGCGCCGACCCGGCTCGCCGTTTAAATCTTGATCGCATCGTTTCGAATTCTTCGTCCGCGATTCGAGACAATTCGCGTAAATAATTCAAGGGCTTGCGCGATCCAAAGACCGGCCCGTGACTGTGGTATTACGCGGATTCGACACATTTCGTGGCGTCGCGATGTCGCGCGACAGAGGAGGAAACGTTGAAATGTCGGCGCCGTCGGTTTCGAGGAAACAGTTTTCGATGTTTCTGAAAAAGATTGCCGAGAGAATTGTGAAACAGCGAGACGGTTAATTTCTTCAGGGCGTTGGAAAGCTTCGCAGACGATGTTCTTTACGGTTATACTCGTTTCTAGCAGTTTCTTAGGAGATAAATACAGTAATTTTTCTGTAATTCGCGCTCAAATTGCGCACAACAATTTGAGAACAGGAGATACGATTATTTTATAGTTACCGATTGGAAAAGAACTGTAAAAACGAGTTTCAAGGCTCGAATAATCGTATCTCCTCTTCCAAAACTATCTATTTTTATGCGCAATCTCGGCGCGAATTAGAGAGAAATTACTGTATTTGTCACCTAAGAAACTACTAGAAACGAATCTTAGCGCGAATTAGGGAGAAATTACTGTAACATTTGCATTCATTGTATGCCCACCGTTTCTACAATGCTTAGATGTGGATACCAAAAGAATTCGAGAAGATTTCTGCTCAAAATCTTCGATACAAGTCCTAATTCAATATTACAGTAATGTCTCTCTAATTGACGCTCAGATTGTTCACAGAAATGGATTTTTTTAGGGAAAGAGAAAATTTGGGAAGATGAGATGCGATTATTCGAGCTTTGCGGTACGTTTTTTATAGTCACGAATTGTCAACGATTATAAAAACGAGCTTCAAGGCTCGAATAATCGTGTCCCCTCTTCCCGAATTGTCCATTTTTCTGCACAATCTGAGCGTCAATTAGAGAGACATTAAGAAGAGAAGAAACTACTGGAAACGAATCCTAGCGCAAATTAGGGAGACATCACTGTATAAGGCAAAACGTCGAAGGTGGAATCAAAGAGGCACACAAAAAACATTTCAATCGAGTGATTAAATACTTTCTGAACGCGTCGAATGATCTCAGCCTCGATGATCTCGATGCAGCATGGC